CTTTTGGAGTCTTTTATATGATCATGAGACATATTGATTTTACTAAAAATGATTTTATTCTAGAAATGTAATGAGATTTATCATTTCCTCAAATTTGTCATTGTCAATAGTTGCTCCATTCCTTTTTCCGAAGGTTCTTCTTATTTATTTATTTATTTTTAATCTATTGGACTACAACGCTTCAGCCGTGCTTTAGGTTTCATTAATAACCGATGTTGTCCTTCTGGGACAATAAATTTAATTGGAGCATTTACAACTAGTAATGATCAATGACATTCATTTATTTACATCCATCTTCAAGATGATGTTTTGGTCGCTTTTATTAAATAAATTATTGACATTGATATTAATGCTAATGTATGCACTACTGACCATCAATATATCATACAATTCATGTGCAAGGATTACATATAATAACGAAATGAATAATATCTCCCCATAATCCTTGCATGTGGGGATATGAAATAAATTAAGTTATCCAACAACCTTGAAAGCCCCTGCACTTAAACCATAAATTCTCTTGGTAATGTCATGTATCAAGCAAAGAAAAATATTTTTATAAAACTCTTGTTCCTCTTGCCCAATTATATTAATCTTTATGTTGAAAATTCTCTAAACTATGGGCATAATACATTCTTCAAGTAATTTGCTCAAAATAGCATGTTTAATTAATTTCTTGAACTCATAACACTATTCTTTGCTCAAATACTTATGAATTTTTTTTCATAAGTTATATATGATCCAGAAAACAAAATACAAATATACTTGTTAATTATTTAATAATCATGAGATTTCTCACTCATTTCCAAAAATAAGGTAATAAGTCTCAAATGACATATATTAGAACACATTAGTTTTGTGAACGGAGAATAATCCAGTCAACATACTTTCAAAAACTATTAGACATTTCTAAATTGTTCTAGAAGGACCCATATAAATTTAAGGAACTTCAGGTTCATATGTCCGAGAATTCTATGTTCAATTTACACATCATTCCCATAATCCAACTTCATGTATTATCGTGTCTACTAAACAATTATCCCTTACTAAAAAAATATTTACAAATATGAAATCTTCAGTTTAAAAAAAATTAATAACTTAATTCAAATAATTTAATTAGACAATCTACACATTTTAGAACGAGAAGTAATCACAAAATGGGACTTAATTAGTTCAAGCTGTAATCAAAACATACCTTATATTAGTTGATATACTCAACTATACAAGCTAAAATAAAGCTTAGGAAACAAGAGCAATCACATGATGAACACACAAGATTAGTGTATCATATGTTAGGGGAAAAACCATACTTGAGATATAAGGTCATTCATAAAATTTTGTAGCACATAATCCAACATGCCAAATTTTGTAGCACATAATCCAACATGCCTTATGTGAAACACTTAAGAAATTAAATATCCATATTTGAATACTCCACATTAGAGACATGTATGTGTCACTTGGAAATAAACATGACTCAACTCCATTATAAATTTATGGAATGACAACTAGTTTCGTGAGAAAAAAAATACTACTATTATATGTATAAACCACTGAAATATACTTGCTATTTTGACATAAGAAAAGGTTCATGTACAGACAATTGTAAACATTCAAGAAGTATGATTTCTATTTTCCGATTCTTACCCTATGTGGAGTACATACTAATTGAACTTTGTCCAACCTTACTTGTTGGTCTTTTGCCAATCTAAATCATTCACTTTTTCTATCAAGCATAGAGAACAGTGGGTCTCATATAAACCTTCAACAAGAAAAATAAAAGCTACAACTCTAACAATTAAACATATTTCATGTTCACAAGAATAAATCCTAATTAAAATTTCCTTTTAAGTCAAGCCAATAAGGATACCCGTGAAGTGAATGGTGATGGTGATGGTGGCCAGGTAAGTGAAGTGAATGGTGATGGTGGCCAGGTAAGTAAAGGTTAATAGCGACAAACATCCATACGCAACTGCTCAAACTATATAGGGATACTCACATAAAAGAAATTAGCATGTACGTACTCAATGCTCAAGAATATGGATCATTTGTTAGAACTGTATCTTAACAAGTCATTAGCACATTAGCCATTAACCAAACTCCTATAAAAGCCTTCTTCAATACGCTCACAAAGATGGGTCAAACCAATTTACTACTTGTCTCAAATCTTCAAACCACTCATTACCCATATAACAAAACAATCAATAAGTAATAAAATTATGCAGAATTGAATCATGTTATGTAAAATAGTATAATAGACTTATATAACGATAATAAAATGAGAAAATATTTTCCTGATGGGTAGTCCACTAGTCCGCTCAACTCCAAGAATTAATTTAGGATTATCATCTCCCAAACGCTTGATATAATTAAATTTGCCAGTCGTCGCAATCTAACCAAATTACTAATGATTCCCATCATAATCCTGAGGTGCCACTGCCCACTAGTATCCAATTAAATATATGATCCCCAAATTCGAATAACAAGGTCCTAGAATTTTGACGGTTCCGTCAGTTCGGCAACTTCGACCGGCTTCAATTCGACAACTCGAATGAATTTTAGCATAAATTTCTCATCACCTAATAGGCTAGAATTAATATATAATTATAATTTGATCTTATTTGATTAAGAGCTTTGGTGCTGATAACGTATTGTGAAATAAGGGGAAAGATCAGATTGAAAGAGAATAAATCTATGTATATTATTCCATATGATAAGGTGTATATATACATACATACAATATATTAGGGTTTGATTGGATAAAAATATAAACCCTAGATCTAGATTGTTCCGGAATGATACAAAGGAGGATAATGGATATCCACAAATATTTCATAACAGATACAAAATTATTAATAATTTGCGTCTATTGAGGAAATAAAAATACAATATTATCACCAAAATAAGGAAAAAGATGCTACATTTTGTTAATATAGAAATTACTTATAAAAATAGAAACAAAAAAATTCGAATAGCAACTAAAGCTGTAATTAATACGTTGTAGATTTTGTAGGATATGCATAGAGGTTTTCATGAAAATGGACGGCTCTTATTTGTTGAAGTTGGCTTGTACAAGAAGGGAAAATAAAAGGTTTATTTGATTGATGGTTAGATAGTAACAAAGAATTTTAATCTAGGGATAGTATAGTAACATTAATGACATCAGCACACGGATATATGGTGTAACTTACCAGTTTCCTATAGGGTTAGTGCCATTTTAAATTATTTTATTTAATATTTTACTAATTTGGTGTCAGTTATAATATCAAGTACTACTCATATTTTTCATTTCCCTTTTACCAAAGCGCCTATTAACTTCTTATCTCATCAAAAGTTTTTTTTTTTTTTTTTAAATACAAAATTCAGAAGGAAAATTCTAGTCATACTTTCGTGAAGGAAACAATCCTAAAAGGCTACAATCATCTACAACTTCATTAGAATTTTAATTTACCCCTTTTCCAAAATTCAGAGTTGATTTTAGTTGGAAGCTTCATCAATACATCAAATGGAGTCTTCATCGACGGGGTAATTTACTTAATCTCAACAATTTCTTTCAATAATGCTATACTTGTGATAAGTGCATAATATACCATATTTTTAGTCCATAATATTAGTCTTATAATCGTTTTCTATTATTAATTTTATGATTTATTCAATTTAATATTTATAGTTCTTATTTTATGTTAGTATTTTATTTTATACCTTTTTTATGAATAATTGGTACTTAAAATTATGTTGTGTGTTTTTGGTAGGATAATAAGTGGAGTATTAATTGGACTTGGAAGAATGAAGCCCATGTTACTAGGAATGTCAGTGGGGCGGGTCAAGTAGGAGACCCGCCCCATCCCCGTCGGCTCACCAATCATTGATGGTTCTAAAACTGCCAAGCCTACGTTACACGCAATAGTACCTAAAATTACTACAGGAAAAATATATAAAAGATCATTAGGCCATGCGGGCTCCCCGTAATAATTATGCCCCATGCCTTTCGCTAATTTAGCCCTTAATACAGGATCATTCAAGTCAGGTTTTTTTGTTATTAGGATAGGTGAATTCTTTTCTTAGAGATTCGATTCATCCCCCGAAAGAACCGGACATGAGAATTTTTCATCATCCGGCTCGAGCAAGAATCAAAAGAACCAAATGGATCCAGAATATGGATCTTATCCATCTAAAAGGTTCCCTGTAAGAACCTATTTATTAAATCCTACTTTCCGAAGTTGTAATTATACATGGAAAGAAATTCTGCTCTTACAAATAAATGCTCAACACCCAAGTAGGCTTACAAAGTTGATCATGCTCAAATGCTTTTTGGGTCGTCTCATACCTTGTAATTGGTGTTTATCTCCAAGAGGATGGGTCTCGGTTTGGCGGGTGGTGGGGCGGGGATGGGGATAAAAACCATACCCGCCATGGGTGATGGGGCGGGGGTGGATTTTAAGTTGTACCCGCCCCATCCCCGCCCCGCCACACCCGCCCCACTTCGTACCCGCCCCATCCCCACCTCATACTCACATCTATATATCTTTTAAAGCAAAGTTACATACTTTTATTCTATTTATAAAATAATTACATGAAATACAATATTAATTATAATACTTTGTACGACACTTATATTATAACACAAAAATGTGTATAGAATGTTTTATTTTATAATTCGTATTAATTATGTAAGATTGTGTATTTGAGATACGGATATTAGGTAGACCTTGGGTGGGGATTAGGCGGGTCTTTGGTGGGGATTAGGTGGGGATGGATATCCAAGTGGAGGGTGGGGCGGGGATGGTTTTGGAGTTGTACCCGGTGGGGCGGGGATGGGATGAAAATTGGACCCGCTGCGAGGATGAGGATGGGGATAGGGATGAAAATATTTGGTGGGGATGGGGATGGGAAGGCCAACATCCGCCCCGCCCCGCCCCGCCCCATTGACATCCCTACATGTTACCATATGTACTACTCCAAGTACCACGTGCCATCAAATACAAAGGAAGCAAGAAAAAGACTCCATTTTTCCTAAACCACCCATTATCATTCTTCATCAAAACTGATAATATCCGAAATTCAAGGCGAGATAAGAGAAGATGAATCTCTATCTTTGTTCACAAATTTATCTCTTCAATCCCAGAAAACCTAGGTTGTTTTCGGTTATTAAATCCCCAATTATCCCTTCTAGAAAATACACAAGTATTACCACAAAAATACGGAAGGTTCGTGAGGCTGGGTAGAGCACGAATTGGTCCAAGGTTGATCGATTGGGTGGTATTGGAAGGTGAAGGGACGAATTTGACGGTGGATTCGAGCAGCGGCTGTTTGATTTCTTGGCTCAGTTCATAAGTTCTCCTTAATTTACTCCTCACCTTTTAATTTTGTGATTAATTTGTTTGCTTCTACTTGGTGAATTGGATGTAATTTGATCTTTAATTTCCTGATTTATGTTTCGTCGTTTAAACGCTGAGTATAATCGTTTCAATATTCAATTTGGTATTTAATTGATTCACATATTCTTCTTTGTTTTATATGAACGTTTAATTTACTTGTAATAGTATTCAATTGCTAGTATGAGGTAATTAGACTATGCTAAATTATTACATGATGCGGCATTATTTGATAAGTTAGAGTGAATGACTCGATATTACTAGTTTGAGCGGCTCAACCGTAGTTTTGTTGAGTTTGTGGGTTGATCTAATAAATTAAGTTTATTGGGGTAGAAAGTGTATTAGTAAGATTCTGATCGATTTCTAGTGAGCTATACATGTCAAATCAACTGCGGCGGTAATTTGACTACCTAGATATTAAATTGAATATTGAAGGAGACTATATGAAGGAAGTTGGGAATTTAAGTTATATCGTATTAATCAATGATCGATTTGTTATCATATTGGTGGTTTGCTTGTCGTCTATTTTAAACAACAGATTAGTATATTATTTTTTTATTTTGTTTGGTTTAATTACTCGTTTGATTAAACCCCCCCAATCTCATGTACATAGTGTGAATAATACTCTTTTATGTATATAGTTCATGTTTCGAGTTGATTTTGGGTTTATAAAGGTAATTAATCTCCTCGTGGGTTCGACCCTTACTTACCCTTTCTGCTAGTTGTTAATATTTTTGAAGGTTTAAGTTAGGTAATTTATTAACTTGTTGCATGTTAACATTGGTTCCACCTAGTCGATTTTTTTTTTGGAATTTTTATCTTGTTCCGTTGTTTTATCTTCAATGTCTATAATCATGTAAGAGATTATGTGTAGATTAAAGTAGATTATTTTTCGTATGGTATTGTTTTATTGAAATTTAAAATTGTTCAAATTTTTTGATAATATAATGGAATTTTTAAAGTATAAAAAATCCGAAAAAAATTAATTAAAAAAACGGTTAACATTACATTGTGATGGCGGATTGTAGTTCAAAAGCATTGGATGATCAAGAGGATAATATTTGGGAGAAATTGCTTAAATTCCAAGATGGTTCTTTGGAAGATTTGCTAGTCACCAACGATCCCCAAGACAAACAATTCCTAGCCACCAATAACTCAACCGAAGCTACGCAATGTTCCGACCAGTGTAGTATAGTTCAGATTTCAACACAAGCGGAACCCAATCGAGAGTATTGTAAGGTATGATTTACAATAATGATGGATTAAGAAATTGGTTATCAAATTTGTGCTTATTATCTTAGAATCATTCAAATTTATAATTACTGTTTGAATTCGTTCATAAATTAAGTATGTTGTGGGGATTGTATGTTAAAAGTAATTTGTTGCCGTTGAATTGGATAGTAAACCAAGAATTGTTGTTGATAGTGTTTATCATAAATGGAAACAAGTACGCGTGCATGGAAAATTATATGAACATGCAGGGTCAAACTTAACTATGGCCCTAGTGCAAAATATCAATTACCATCCACGAATTTATTCATTAAAATAGTGTATTTTGTTTGTGGTTACTTGTACTACCAAAAAGCTAAAAAGAAATACCATATATATGTCAAATGTTTCTATTTAAAAGTAAATTCTATGGTAATGACAATCGATGTTTGTGCCGAATAATTTCGCAACAATTAAATTAATCAATTGAAAGTGGTCGTAATAACTATAAACATGTTGTAGGATGATGTTCATACCGAAGGGAATGTTCTTGATGGTCAGGGTCACGCTGATGTTCATGTGCGCCCTCTTTGAGTGGTGGATGTTACTAGTGAGGTAAAAGTCGCTACAATATTGATATGTATTTATCTAATTAACACCTATAGTGTCATTGATTAACACCTATTAGAATTATCTTGATTCAAATTTGAGAATCATTGATTCGCTTTTTTCATTAACAGTTGATATGATTTTGTAGGATGATTGTGGGTTTAAGGGAGGCAGTGGTCATGAAGACTTGCCCACGAAGGGGCCAGAGCCTTCACATGCTGCAATGGCGGAGTTACCCAAAAAGGTTATATCTGTTTTAATTTAATTTACATGTGAAAATATCCACAATTAATTTGAAAAAATTATGCTTGTACGATGAGTGTTGGTGTTCAAATGAAAATTTTTCCCATATTAATAAATTTACTTATTAAATTATAGGTTAAATGACCTACTATTGTGCCAATATTCACTTATACTTTATGATATTTTGTAGGATGTTATGGATAAAGTTGGCAGGCCGCACGATGACATGCACAATGATGGTGATCAGCCTGCTCGTGTGGAATTTACCAAAAAGGTAAATGCAGTTACCAAAAAAATATCATTGGATACTAATTTAATTATAAATAGCATGTTACTTGTAAAATTTTCACCTAATGTTAAACTTATAAAATTCAGATTAATCTTAACTTATTGATTTTCACGTATTGTTACTTGTGGTAAAATTATTAATGTATAAAACACACCATTATTAAAAAAATAAAAACTAGTATCATTGTATATGCAAATCGTATCATTTTAAAAAAGAATAAGGACCAATATGTGTTTTTTTTTATTTGTTGTATACTTGTATGTATTTAGCTTTTTGAAGCCGGTGGTTCAAGTCAAAGTGCAATAACAAAGAAGAAAAGAACCCCAAGAAAAGGGGCATCTAAACAAGTGAGAATTTTGTTGGTAAAATACCTGTTGATTCCAATGACAAAACAGAGAATATGAAAGGGAAAAATACTTGATCGAAGATCTCAAACTCACAGTCGCGCCGTGGAACATAATCCACTGCCTTAGAAGCAAAATACGCCACCACCGGTACAGGTTTCTTGATGACGCACGCCCCCCAAGTTTAACGCAACTCTCCTTCGTAATTCGTGTACCCGAATCCGAAGCATGGAGTTACTCAAGAACTGTTCAGATCTCAAAGGGTAGGTTTTGTGTTTTTGTGTTTAGGTTATTTCAATAATGAAATTAACGTGTATCAAATAAGAGTTAAGGAGTAGTATTTATAGGAGAAGAAAGAAAAAGAAACAAAACAAGGCAAGCCTTCCACGCAAAGCCCAAACCCACAACCGAGCTATAGCTCTCTCGCATGAGAGCTCTCGCTCGGCCCTGCCATAGGCTATCTGGGCAGCGAGCTATAGCTCTTTCGCATGAGAGCTCTAGCTCGGACTTGCCACAAGCCATTTATTAGCACCGAGCTCTAGCTCCCTTGCTAGCTCGTCCTTGCGTGGCTCACTAGTCTTGTGTGCTACATCCCTTTCTCACTAGCTCCTTGCACACATCGACATCAAGGTGACCACACTCACTTAACAACACTCCGATTTGCATTAGAAGGATTAGCAAAACTCCAACAATCCCCCACTAATGCAAAACGGACATGAGATCATGAAATCTGACTAGTAAAATGAAAGGTTAAGTACTTAAGCACTAATATCTATAAGGTTTGAACTAATGCCTTAGTGACACAGGAATTCAACACTCTTCTGGTGAGTATCCAAAGGTTTGAACTCCTAGAAGCGAAGAAGGAACATGTATCACATACTTCACCTTTTGAACTTGAGAAACTCCGCCACTCTTGGCCAACACCTTGGGCTCTCATGAGTACTTCAGGAAAATTACACCACAATTTTCCCTTAAAGGAGGCCACCCCTCGTACTCACGTAGGTGTTCCGTCTGTGTATAAAATACACATTCCCTGCACATCTAGGGTCTTTCCTTGCAGGCTTAAAACACATTCAAGCACCTTGCAAACCCAAGATTTTCTGTGCAATGGAATAAGAACATTAAGAACGAAAAGTTCAACCCTATCAACTCGACGGTGCATCTATCAATCCACTGCTCAATGAGCTGTTAGGCTAGATGCATTAAGGGATACTCCCAACCTCAGTCATTCGGTACCATTATCGTTCCCTATTCGAGAATTATCAGGGCTAGTGGTTCTAATTTATTTAAGAATCACTATCGTTCCCACCTCTCAAGCAACTGGGCTAGTAGTATTAAGAGCAAGCAATGCTCAACCTTCCACCTTCGGTGTCATTTTCAATCCTACTCTAAGAGCCACTGGGCTAATGGTCTTGTATCCACTTAAGAACCATTATCAATCCCTGCTCAAAGAATAACTGGACAAATGACATTAAGAGCCACACTCAACCTTACTAAATCCACCTGATCAACAAACCATTGAAAAAAGTTATAGATTCAATAAACATAAATGGTGTAAATCCAACAATGAGTCAACCAAAACAAGGCTCTAGACCCATTCGGAACAAAAGTTCAATAAATTAAAACACTTTGGTGTGTCCATGTAAGCTGTCTCAATTGACCACCCAACCTGGGTTATGGACATATTAAGAGCACTTAAAGCTCAACCTGTAAACATCAAGCAACAAGTCTACCAAAGTATCTCATAACCATATAAATTAGAGGGTTATCAAGCCAGATAACTTCCAAACGTAGACTCATCTTTTAAATCTTCGTCTCTGGAATAATTTAAAATACCTCATAGGATCTTAAATATATTCTCTTAGACAATCAAGCACTTATCTGTGCTTCATCCTTGTATAAGGACCTACTTGATTCTTCTTTTCTTTCACGTACTCTGACATGAGTATCACCTCCACAAGATTTGTCTAACTTTGTCACTACATCTGTATACAGTTCCTGACAGCATACATAGACACTTGTGAAAAATAATGTAGAGAACATGAGGATCAACTTACCCCCACAATGGACAAACTTCCAGAGATTAATTTTTGCAACAATCATCTTCTTGACCACGTCATCCAATCTAATGAACCTTTTCTTCATAATGGATAGTGTACAACAATTTGTTTTACAGCGCACTCGAAACAGAGCATCACCCTTCATCATGTAAAAACCATACACTGAAGAGGTTCAACTAATCATCGTTGTTCATTCAATCACTGTCTCTTAGAACTTGAGAAATTTTCTCACTTTAACCTTCATCCCTGTACTAACTGAAACTCAAACAATAATTGAGTAATTCTCTCTTGACAAACAGAATGAACAATATAGTTCACAACAAAACCACTACACGTCAAGAATAGTTTGTTCATCATTTAGATTGCAAAACATTAGCACATTTGAATCAAACATCAAGGCCAAATCATTAAAATAACTCTGGCTTAGACATGATAAATATAATTTACCAAACCACTTTCTCTACATCACAATAATGAGATTGATGCGTACCTTTATTAGTTCATTGGCATACTGCCTAGAACCATTCTGCTTATCACATTATCTTGTACTTGTTTCTTGGTTTAGAGTCACATATACATCATTATCTCAATTAACAACATGCATTTGAAGTTAACAACTTATGATCATTCTAGCAAATGAACTCTATCAATGTGAACCATAGTAACATCACACATGCATCAAGAAGTTCAACTCACATGCCAAGAAAAACTTAACATAACAAGTTAGATTACTCAAATCTAACCCCCACTCACCATACATATCACAAAAGATATAACATTATGAGCAAAAATACCTCATCTTCTAAGTTGTCACCTGTGCATGCGTTTTAAATACACACCCTTGATTTACAATCAATCACGCTAGGAAGCTTAAGCAACCTTACTGCAAACCAGGAAAGCTTAGAACAAACCAGGTGAGTCATAAGAGTTGGTCAGCACAAAACTTACAGAATAAATCCTAACAACATAGTATCTTACCTTCAGCTCATTTCCAATCAACCTCCTTTCAACTCACCTTGAAAGTTACTTACAACAGATGGATTTTTAATAACAAGGCAAGATATACTCTTCTCAAACATATCAGACTCAAAGGAGTGCACACTCGCATTAACATGCTTCTTTCCACAACTAGTTAATCAAGGTTTATCCATATGGTTCAGGATTTTTTCATCCACCACTACTTGAATACATACCACACAACAAACCATCTACATACAACTTTCGATCAAGAAAGTAAAATCAAGATGATACACAACTAGTTCAAGCTTTAATCCAATACACCTTAGATGATGAACTCATCAACTTTACTAGCAGAATAAAGCTTAGGAATCAAGAACAAATCCTATGAACGACCAAAACTAACATGTCATGTCATAGGAAAACATATACTTGAGACATTTCAAGGATTTAACATATCAAGCTCGTACATGATAAACGTAGCAGATATTCAGCATACATATCACCCACAGTCCCACAAGCCTTCATGCTTTATGTGAAACATATATAGAAGTCAATTCTTCTTTATTGGAAACCCCCACATCACATATACCACATGAAAATAATCATGACTCGGGTAGTATCAACCAAATTCTTGGGTGAAATACTTACTAAACAAATAAACAACTGAAACATATCTGCAACCCCCACAATACTAACATTCACAAAATATTAATAGACTTTAAAGACATATGGGATGTTAATTCTCATCCTTACCTCATGTGGGGCACTTACACTTCAAACTTGCACGGCCATTCTAGCTTTGTTAAGTCAAGCCTTTTTTATTCTGCTAATAAGCACGGAAATCAACCCGTTCTCATCTAGACCATCAACAAGAAAAATAATTGCTACACCTCTAGCAAATTAAATACATTTCAAGTTCGTGAACAAAGCTGATTAAGATCACAAGAATTAAAAGAAACAATAATTCTAAATCCCTTTTTAATCTAAAAAGACACTTACAAGCTTATCACAACTCCGTGCTCAACAAAACATTGTCCATGAGTAGGAAAAATAACAATAAAAACACTATCGTAAGATAGAACACATGTCATCCCTAATCTACTAAGACAAAACACATTAAAGTCCATGAACATAAATAAATTACCATTGGACAAAACATAAATTAGCAGAAATAAATTACTTTGCAAACCAACAAGAAAATAACCACAGATAAACGTCTCTTACGAGGACCTTCCTCCTCTATACCACTCATCAACAAGAGTACAAACAACTAATTAACTTACTAGTTAGTCTCAAGATCTAACTCAAATCACCTCATCCCCACATTGCATTGCAATAGCTCATAATCATAAAATTAAGCATATCAGGGGCCACATAATAATAGACACCATATTATGTAAAGTTAGAAAATAATTATTTGAGGACTTATCTGATTTAGCTTATTGTAGCTGTTATAGTTCTCCACTCTGATCATATTCACTTGATCAACCGAGTGAATCGAGGAGACTGCTACTATCGGGCTAACAGTTGTATATCACATCACCAGAACAAGAACCATCTTTTCCATGGAAATACAATCCTGAATGCAGATATCCAGTCGGCACTCTTCTGAGTCTTCGATTTATAGTTCCCGTATTACATCCAGTTAAACACCAAGATCAATTTAATTGCAGTGTCTTAATATTACATACCGGAGTAATAGAGACAATTTAAATGTCCACCTTAACTGCATCATCATGGCATCAACCTTGGAGCCCAAAACCAATGTCAGCAATTCATAATTACGCTCAACCCAAACTTCCAAATTAAAGGACAAGGTAGGCGCAGCAATAATATTCTAATTATATATTCATCATCAACGCAAATCCTTGCTTAATGATATAATTTACTAAAAATTCCACCGACAATCTTCAATGGAAATTTCAGGTTTTCTTTTCTCTTAATTCTTTAGATACTATGATACAATTTGAAACCATATTTGACAAACGGAAAAATTAGGAATTAACTTTCCTTAACCTTGCTGACATAATGTCCACTAGAAGCCATAAATTAAATAAAGAAGGTTGTAGTTAAGCAAAGATCAAACACACTTTACCGAGTTCATCCATCCAACAATATACACAGATATTTCACACTGACGGATAAATTAAATTTCCCCAAAATTTAGGGTTCTTAAACTTCGAGAAATACGGATGAATTTCATACGAGGATCCCGAACCAAATTTTAATTTCCATCCCGATCAAACGATTTATATAATTGAATAATCCAGGAATCAACAGTATAATAAATTAATACTATTTCGCTTCTAAATTGTTGGTAAAATACCTATTGATTCCAATGACAAAACAGAAAATATGAAAGGGAAAAATACTTGATCGAAGATCTCAAACTCACAGTCGCGCCGTGGAATATAATCCACAGCCTTAGAAGCAAAATACGCCACCACCGGTACAGGTTTCTTGATGACGCACGCCCCCCAAGTTTAACGCAACTCTCCTTCGTAATTCGTGTACCCGAATCCGAAGCATGGAGTTACTCAAGAACTGTTCAGATCTCAAAGGGTAGGTTTTGTGTTTTTGTGTTTAGGTTATTTCAATAATGAAATTAACGTGTATCAAATAAGAGTTAAGGAGTAGTATTTATAGGAGAAGAAAGAAAAAGAAACAAAACAAGGCAAGCCTTCCACGCAAAGCCCAAACCCACAACCGAGCTATAGCTCTCTCGCATGAGAGCTCGCTCGGCCCTGCCATAGGCTATCTGGGCAGCGAGCTATAGCTCTTTCGCATGAGAGCTCTAGCTCGGACTTGCCACAAGCCATTTATTAGCACCGAGCTCTAGCTCCCTTGCTAGCTCGTCCTTGCGTGGCTCACTAGTCTTGTGTGCTACATCCCTTTCTCACTAGCTCCTTGCACACATCGACATCAAGGTGACCACACTCACTTAACAACACTCCGATTTGCATTAGAAGGATTAGCAAAACTCCAACAAATTTTAATACACAAAATCAACCAAAGTTTATTTCTATTTAGCACTTGTTTATTATTTTAGAAACGATGTTCATGTTGATGAGTTCGCAGAAGAATGTTGAAGCTACAGTAGCAGAGAAAGGAGTTGTATCCGAGGGTGTTGCACCTTCGAGAAAGCGAGGAAGACCGCGTAAAGAAGGACCCAAGCACGTAAGATTTAAAAAAATAATACAAATTAGTTGGTAAATTACATGTACAAGTTTGTTTTTCAGTTTGTTTAATTCGTTTGTTTCTTTGGTGTAGTACCCTATTGTTAGGACCTACCCTAAAGATGTTGTGAAGGTTTTGAAGAAAATAAGCTCTCAAAGAAGGAAGTACGTGAGGAAAACAGTTTTCAAGTCTTTTCTTGACATAAAAATCAAACATTTCGATAGGAATTTCTTGGCATATTTATATAGCCGATGGGATGCTAGTAGGAAAGTACTACGTATTCGAGATGATTACGAAGTACAGATAGATGATGAGATGGTCGGGTGGATCACGGGACTTCCATACGGTGAAGTGACCCGAGACATTCCTCCAGTAAAAAGGGGGAAATCTAGTATCCAGGATATGAAGACCGAAAACAGAAATGCTGGTGGAATCGGCTACAGAGTTGTGCATAACATGTGTTTGGATGAAGCCAAGGAAAAATCTGAATTTTTGAAGCACTTTGTTCTCTATGTTTTTGGTAATATTTTATGCACGACGACTAGCAACAACATTAGCCCGGACCTCTGTTGGTTGGTGAGAAGGAAGTTTCTGCGTGATGCTAAGAAGTACAGCTGGTCAAAGTTTATCCTAGAGTGGATGGTGAAATATGGAAATGGGGATTCTACCAAGGGGTTTAAAGGATCTCCTACGGTTCTGATGGTAAGCATTGTTACTTTTTGATGCATTTCACTGTAAATCTTGTTACTGATAAATTGTGTAATTTTTTGTTGTTTTCGATTTTATTTAAGAGTAATACAACAATGCATGGTTTGTGCAGGCGGATGCACGATCCACATGGTGCATCTCTTTCAAAAAAAAGCGGAAAAAACATTGCATAAAAATATAAAGAACATTTAGTTTAAGTGAAAAGAACATATTATAGAATTGTAATGAACATTGTATAGATATGTAAAAAACATTCCGTTAAAGTGCAAAAAACATGTTATAAAATTGTAAAGAACAAAATGTGCAGTTAAATAATGTTCTTTATCTTCATGTTCTTTGATGTCAAAATAATGTACTTTTATTTGTAACATATGTTAATTGTTTAATTTGAAATGTTATTTGAAATTTGTCTTTAGATTATGGTGGTTGAATAAAAATAATGTTCATTACATTATATTATCATTAAAGGTGATAAAAATTTTGGGTCGGGCTAGGCTATAACATAATATCTCGTGTCCAAAAAACCCGAAAAATGTAGTGGGCTTTCCGGCTTTTTTTCGGGTCGAGTTTGGATTTTTTTTAATTAAAAATGCATTTTTAGGCTTGTCTAAACCCGCCCTATTTTCGGGTTGGATCGGGTCGGGCCGAAGTTGATCACCTCTAATTATCATGTTTTTAATTAATATTACGGATGTTCTTTAGATATATATAAAGAACGTGAAGTTGGATGTTTTTTTTACAAAATAGGTATATGTTCTTTAAAAAACAACTATATGTTCATTACAATACAGCTATATGTGATGTTCTTACAACGGAATGTTCATTCCGCGTTTTAAAAGAGAAAACGGATGCACGGAGCATCGTGCATCCGCCTCCATAGAAAAAATTTCAGTAATCCAACACACATTTTTTCAATTACTATTTTACTAACTTTATTAACAAAATGCATATAGCATACCTAGACTGTTTGAACATTGGTGGTCAAGGTGTGATGTGGGACAAAGATGTTCCAAGAATTGGGTGTTGGCAACAGAAGCGATAGCATCTGACCTAAGGCCTGATGGATCTTTTGGTGCAGTTAAGGTATTCAAAACCTAACCTCAACATGTTCAATTATGTACTCGTGAATTCATGTTTGGTCTTCCATGAATACAATGATTTATGTGCAGGTTGTCCGTGGTGTGGTGTACGGAGAGAAATACCCAATTGGAAAGTCAATGAAAATACCGATTTGGCTTCAATCAGATAGTTCTGGGTCAAAGACAGTGGTGCTAGTGTAAGTCTCACTAAGTCTCATGCCATTTGTTGATTTCATTTCGTTGATCAAGACTGAAATTCTATTTATTAGTAACAACAATGTTTTATAAGTATTCCAAATATTTGATTTCCTAATAGGATTCAAAAAGTAAGGATTCTGAAGATGCCACGAAACCTGAGAGAGTTTGAAAATTACCAGAAAATAAAAGTAAGGGAAAAGAAGTTGAGAAAAAAAAATCCAAGGCTGATCGTGGGTCAAACAGTGATGACTCTGAGAAGGTGACTAAACTTGTGAAAATATTGTAAAATTAAATACGCTTGTGTGTGTGATAATGGAGGTAGCTTGAAACTTCTCCAATGGCGGAAATATGGGTAATTGGGAAAAGAAGAGAGAGAGAGAGAGAGATAGAGAAACAGAGGGGAACCGAAGAGAGAAGAAGAAATGAATTAATTCTGTAAAAAAATTGATTACCAGCTACAGTACAGCTATTCATATTTATTGTAGTGGGTTACACGTTATAATTCCACTTAAAGGAAATAACTAACTACTCCACTACTTCCCACTTACTAACAACTTGCAACAAATATCTAACAAATTTCCAATTATTACATAACTATGAGTTATTAATTGAATTAGTTCATTTAACTAATTCCAACCATATCATAGCCTTCCCCTTTTAACAGACTTGACCTCAAGTCGAAGCTGGAACAAAATCAGGAAATTGTCGCTCCAAATACTCAGCAGACTCCCAAGTAGCTTCATAATCAGGAAATCCCTCCCAATGCACCAAATACTGAACCTGTGCTCTATTATGAAATCTGACAATCTTCCTATCCAAAATAGCAGCAAGACGAATATCTTCTGACCCCACAATTTGGCCTTGAAATACAGAAGGAATGTGAGCAGCCAAAGGCAACTGCCCCTTGAAACTCTTAAGCTGAGACACATGGAATGTATCATGTATCTTTGCTTCAGAAGGCAACTTCAATTTATAAGCAACCTTCCCTACAACTGCAGCCACTTGAAAAGGACCATAAAACTGATGTGAAAGTTTGTAATTACATCTCCGTTGAACAGTGAACTGCCTATAAGCCTGTAATTTGAGCCAAACCTAATCGCCAACTTTAAAAACTCTTTATGATCTGTGTTTATCTGCCTGAGACTTCATTATCTGCTGAGCCTTTTTCAGGTGAAATCTAAGCTCAGAAATCATCTTTTCCCTTCTCTGTAAACTCCTGTCAAGTTCATCATTCTTGACTTCACCAGCAAGATAAGGAAGATGTAAAGGTGGAGGCTGATTATAGACCACCTCATAAGGAGTTAGTTGTAAAGCAGAATGGAAATGTGTGTTATACCACCATTCAGCTAAGGGTAGCCATTTATGCCATTCCTGAGGCTCATCTCCAGACATACACCTCAAATAGGCTTCCAAGCACCTATTAACAACCTCAGTCTGTCCATCAGTTTGAGGATGGTAAGCTGTGGATAACTTCAAGTCTGTTCCATACAAAGAAAACAAACCCCTCCAAAACTGACTAACAAAAATTGAGTCTCTATCACTCACAATTGATCTAGGCCACCCATGGAGCTTGAACACACTATCTAAATAGCACTGTGCCACTTGAATTACTGTAAATGGATGAAACAATGCCATAAAATGGGCATATTTGCTGTATCTATCCACCATAACAAAAATCACATCTTTTCCAGCAGATTTAGGGAGCCCAGTAATGAAATCCATAGAAATATCAATCCAAACTTCTTCTGGAACAGGTAGAGGCTGAGATGACCAGGGTATGCAGCTGTGTCATATTTAGCAGCCTGACAAATTACACACTTCCTCACAAAAGCACTAACATCCTTTGTAAGACCCTTCCAGTAAAACAATTTCTTTACCCTCTTTAAGGTCAATTCCCTGCCACCATGTCCACTATCAGGAGAGTCATGATGCCATGCCAAAATTTTGTTTCTAAGCTGAAGATCAGGTCCCACAACAATTCTGCCCTTCCTTTTAAGCAAATTGCCTTCCCATTTAAAATCAGTAATTCCCACCTGGTTCTGTAACTGTTGAATCATAGCAGTATAATTGTCATCCAAGTTATAACTGGCAGTAATCATAGATACCAAATTAGAGTCAACCAGAGAAACAACCATAAACAAGATCTCTGAGCCTTGAACCCTTGACAATGCATCTGCAGCTACATTCTCCTTTCCACACTTATATTGAATTTCATAATCAAACCCCATTAATTTTGAAAGCCAAAATTGTTGAAAGGGTGTGGAGATCTTCTGTTGAAGTAACCATTTCAAACTCTTTTGGTCTGTTTTTATGATGAAATATGCACCAACCAAATACTGCTCCCATTTTTGAACTGCAAACACAATAACTAGCAACACTTTGTCATAAACTGATAGTTTTTGCCACTTTGTTCCCAGTGACCGACTAATATAGGCTAATGGATAACCTTCCTGCATCAGAACAGCACCAATACCATACTTAGAAGCATCAGTCTCCAAAACAAACTGCAAGTCAAAATTAGGAATGGCGGGGCTGAAACTAGAGCAGATTTAAGCTTCTCAAAAGCTTCCTGAGCATGCTCATTCCAAGAAAAACCAGACTTTTTAAGCTGATCAGTCAAAGGCTTGCTAATAACAGCATATCCCTTCACAAATTTCCTATAATAGCCTGTTAGACCTAGAAAACTTCTCAATTCTTTGATTTGAAGGAACAGGTCAACTGCTCACTGCTGCTACTTTCTTGGGATCTGTCTCAACACCATTCTGAGTAATATAATGTCCCAAATTTACTCAACTCTTGATGAAGCAAATATACATTTGCTCTCTTTAGCAAACATATTATTCTGCTGCATCAATTCAAATACCTCAGCTAAATGCTTCCAATGATCTTCTAAGGACTTGCTATAGACCAAGATGTCATCAAAAAACACCAAAACACACTTCCTAAGTAAAGGCCTAAAGACATGATTCATCCAACCTTGAAAAGAAGCTGGAGCATTAGTTAAGCCAAAAGGAATAACTAAAAACTCATAATGGCCAGTGTGGGTCTTAAAGGCTGTCTTGAACACATCAGCTGAGCTTACTCTCATTTGATGGTAACCTGCCCTAAGATCAAGCTTAGTAAACACAGAAGCCCCAACAAGTTCATCTATCAATTCATCAATTACAGGGATAGGAAACTTATTTTTCACAGTTCTATTATTCAATTCCCTATAATCTACACATAGCCTCCAAGTTCCATCTTTCTTACCCACTAACACAACAGGGGAAGCAAAAGGACTTGAACTGTTTTGGATGATGCCCCTATCTAGCATCTCCTGCACCAATTGTTCAATTATATCCCTTTGTTTAAGGGGATACCTGTAGGGTCTGATATTAACAGGTGTGCTGCCTGGTATCAAAGGTATAGAGTGATCAAATACACCCCTGACAGGTGGTAAAGCTGAAGGTTCCTCAAAAACCTTAGCATACTGCTGTTTGATGGCCAAAAATTCAGAATTACTCAAAACTGTATTAGTGTCCTGTTCCATCTGCCCAACAAAGCAATTAGAATCTTGAACATGCAACAAACATAACTGGATTGAAGAATCCATGATTGAGGCTCTAGGATCTCCTTCTACCACAGACAACTTTTTAGGTGGTATACCTTTAAGAACAATTTGTTTTCCCTGAAAAGTAAACTCCATTCTAAGCTTCTGAAAATCCCAATGAATAGAACCCAACAGTCTTAACCATTGTATTCCCAACACCATATCACAACTCCCTAAGGGAATGACCAACACATCTGCTTCAAACTATGGCCATGCATACTCCAAGCAAACCCCTTGCAAGCTTGCTGACAAGGAATATGATTCCCATCTGCTACAGAGATAGCCTGGAAAGGAATCTGCTCCAAAGAACAACCCAACTTAGAAGCTACAGAAGCATCCACAAAGTTGTGTGTACTTCCAGAATCAATAAGAATGTGTAAATCCTTTCCCTGAATTCTGCCTATCACTCTCATAGTTTGAAAAGACTGATTTCCAACAAGAGCATGCATAGAGATTTGAGGTTCATCAATGGAATTAGGAAAAGATCCCAAATCCTCATCACTGTCAGAATCAATAGATCCAGGAATTTCAACTGTAAACAACCGAGGTTTCTTAAATTGGCACTGATGTTCTCTTGTATAAGGCTGGTCACAGTAGTAACACAGTCCTTTAGCAATCTTCTCCTGTCTAACATCAGCTGGTATATGTTTATAGTTTTTGTTCTTGTATGGAAATTGTGTCAAAGCTGGTAGGGTAGGCTTAGAAGAAGGGGTAGGTAACAATGGGGGTAATGTGTTTGGGCTATTTGTGTTTGTTGTTTGTGTTTTTGATGTATAAGAGAATGGCTTAGAACGGTTGTATGTATGAATGGAACTCAGAGATTCCTCCTGTAGCCTAGCAAAATCCACTACCTGAGCAATAGTCGCTGGTTTAAACGCCTTAACAAAGGGTTTCACAGCTGGTTTAAGCCCTCCCACAAAACTCTCCAAAATTTAAGCATCAGGTAGTATATGATTATTCATCAGCATTACAGATCTAAGTTTCTCAAATTCATCAATATAGTCCTCAATAGACCCTAATTGTTGCAATCTATTGAACTGCTCAACAACATCTAAAGCAGAATTATCCCTAAATCGTGCATACAAATCCACAACAAAGTCATTCCAATCTGACCTTCTAATAGACAGATAATTCATCACCCAATGTTCAGCCTTATCAGTCATATTCAATGAGGCCAAATCCACCTTTTGATCATCAACAATTTTGCAAAGATTGAAGTATTTGCAACATTTTTTAACCCAAATCCGAGATTGACACCATTAAACTTAGGAAATTCAAGCTTAGGGTTCATACCTAAGGTCCTGGTGGAATTGGACCTGCTCAAACTGCCATTAGAGTATGTTGGAGAAGAGGGTTCGGAGCTCGAAGGGGTTGAAACCTTCTCAGCTTGCATCGCCTGCATCATCTTCAACATCTCATCAATTTTCTGATCGAATCTTGAAATTTGATCATCAATTCGTTTTTCCAGATTCTTGATTTGGTCTTCCATTGCAGCAACTCGTCGAGTCACAGGAGGAACAGTAAGAGTGCTCTGATACCAATGATAATGGAGGTAGCTTGAAACTTCTCCAATGGCGGAAATATGGGTAATTGGGAAAAGAAGAGAGAGAGAGAGAGATAGAGAAACAGAGGGGAACTGAAGAGAGAAGAAGAAATGAATTAATTCTGTAAAAAAATTGATTACCAGCTACAGTACAGCTATTCATATTTATTGTAGTGGGTTACACGTTATAATTCCACTTAAAGGAAATAACTAACTACTCCACTACTTCCCACTTACTAACAACTTGCAACAAATATCTAACAAATTTCCAATTATTACATAACTATGAGTTATTAATTGAATTAGTTCATTTAACTAATTCCAACCATATCAGTGTGTTATTTTTTTATTTTTTTGTTTTTAAATTGGTAACAAAATATTGAATGATTAGTATTATAACGTGTGAACTGTGGCAGGACACTGATGCTAGATCCAAAAAGAAGTTGAACATTGGGTCTGGTAGCAAGGGACCTGCGGAGCAAAGTGTAAGAAGTAGCGCTCGTAATAAACTGCCCAAAGCGATGCCTATACTGAGAAAAGAGATGTTGCAGTTGAACCTCGTGGCCACAAGGTACATTATTGTGTGCTGGTGTATGGTGTTGTGATCTTTTGGCTCGTAATTTTTGATTTTATGTCAGGTACATTCTTGGTGGTTTACCTTTTATTCATGTTAATTTGGTCTAAGCAAATTCCTAATTACATATGTTATATTCAATATATCGTGTTTGACTTTCCTGGTAACATATTAGAATGAATGATAGTATTCTGAATTAAATAGATATTAGAAACCCCACTGATTGTTTGATACACCTTTCTTTCTAGTAACATATTGTAATTTTTTTATTTTTTATTTTTAGGATAATGATGAAGATGACACACAGTCGCAGGGGGCACCTGCTGTTTCTCCTTCTGAAAAAAAAATATTTCATCAGATAATTGAGAAGAAATCGAAGACATTGTAAGTTTACCCATACTCTTTGGTGTGTGATGTAACTAATGCAAGTACTTAATTACATTGTTGTGTACATGTACTGATGCATTATCCAACATACAGGTTTAAAAGTCAAGTGTTGTATCAGCGTGGTGAATTTAGCTTGAATCGAAAGGACCTATACGATTCCTTCAGAGTGTACGGGTCACTTTCCATTAACTTAATGGAGGCCTTTGCAAAATTTCTGAACTGCTTCACCGGTTCCAATCCTGAACGTGGAAAGCGCAGCTACATCTTGTCACCACAGTACATGGTATGCAAGATTCAATACATTGTTTAATTGAGCTATTATTGTCAATTATTCAATTATACTCTATATTCTGTTACGTGGTGATTACTCAGCTTTTTGCTACGTGTGTGTTGTTTTGTTATGTTATTTGTGTTTGCGACCATGTCTTTTTCTTATGGTGGCCCTGCGACGATCTATTTTTAGAATTTGTCCTTAATGGTGAGCAGTCAGGTTTGTCTAAACAGGTACTGATCAAGTGGTCGTAGCTAAGGGAGCTCAAGTATTTCGATTAGTTTGTTATAATAAGTTTGTAAAGTTGTATAAATAGCTCACCTAGATTTATTGAGTTGTACAGTTGGGATTTTATAAGCCTTAACACTCGATAAGTTGTTGAGTGTGGCGGTAATACCTACGATTTAGTTGTATGCTTCCGCAATTTTATTTAAAAGTTGTCTATTTTTCCTTTATTTATTGTTTATTATTAGTTAATAAATCGGGGGTGTTACAGGTGTTACATGATACCAATGGGAATGTAGTTTCTGCATCAATGAAGAGAATTAACTATACCACACCTGAGATAGCTGAAGCCATGGTTGTTAGGTATGCATTACATATAGCTTTGGAGACTTGGTTATAAGTCAGTGGTGGTGGAAAGCGACTCGCTAAATGTGATCCAAGTTGTGAAAGTGGATTCGGAAAGGTTGGATCCGATCTTTCTTATTTATAATGTTATTAGAATGGGTAGCTTATTATTTGCTGCTTGTAGTATTTAAAATGTTAAGCGTTCTTGTAATATGGTAGTGCACCCAGTAGCAAGGTGAGAACCCGATATGATGTTAATTCTGAACTTGTACGCTTGGGATCGTTTCCCCAAAATCTCATTACTTTGACGGAATTAGGCCTTATTAATTTGAATAAAAGCATCGCTACCCATTTCTTTATAATAATAAAAATAAATAAAAAAAAAAAAAAATACTGTCGTAACCAAAACTACTACAGTGATCTGAGCTTGAAGGTTTAAAATGGGCTTTCTGAGAAAGTGGTTGGTTGGATCATTTTCATATGTCACATTGTCACATGTTAATGGATGATGATAGCAGTCCAACAAACTAACATAGATTCTTATTTTCACATGTCTTGTTTCTCAAATTCCGTTTTTTCTTTTCTTTTCAGGTGCATATATATGCATATTCCAAATTACCAGAATATACGTACAGTTTCAATTATCGATCAGATTATGACTTTATTCATAGCTCTCAGTGTGGCTTGTATAGTACCATCAATCCATCATACATTTTTAACAGAAACCAATTATATATCCAAAGATTAATTATGATAATACACGTAAATTATTGACATAAACTATGTAGATTGGCCTTCGGATACGATATGGTTACTTAGAACTTGTTATCTTCAACTTATTTCATATACTTATTACTTACTCCTTAATAAATTCATATCAGATTAGACTTGATCAGAAAGATTCAGATCATACCATAACAGAACTTTTGATTATCATTTATTTATCGTTAAATATCGTGAATTGCGTATTAATTTTTTTATAAAGATTACATATCTAAATAGTTCATGATGAGACGAATCTAACAAGATCCATTTTGATAATGTTTTCTTTATATATTAGTATTCAAATACGGACAAAATTTAGTCAAATTATTAAATCAGATCAGACCTTAAAAAATTCAGACCAGATCTACTTATTCAGGTGAAGAGAACAAGTCCTAATGTTGTTTAATTAATCATGATAAGGTACAAGTTATAGAGATTTAGATAGATCTAAATTTTATCAAAAATATTACCGAATACTGTAACTTACTATCCAAAAGCGACTAGAACAAAACTCCATCCATATATTTGATATCACTTCCATTTTAAATATGGCTTCATTTAATAGGCAATATATCTATGTTTTTATCTAGGTTCTATGAATATACTTCATTCTTAGATATTAGATTTTATGAAAATGGTTAAATGGTTGGATATGATTCTAAGTTTCTAACACTAAAAAAACGTCAACATGGGGATAAAAATAATGGTTATGGCTTTCTTAATTTTGTGAACTAGTAATAAGGTTATGAACATTTTTTTATTAATAAGAACATTACTTATTAGTTATTAGTCATATAAAGAATTTAGCTATAAAAAATGGCATAAATGTCTCAAAAGTATCTTAGTACATGTGTCGTATAATTATTTATACTACGTATAAAACTACTACTACATATAAGACACACCATTATTTGAAGTGTCGGACACATCATTTGGAGTGTCGATCACATGTTGAGGTGTCTTCGACAAGTGCCGATGTCCAATATTTATTGGATACATAGGATTTGTCATCTTCTATGTAAAATTTTCATGTATCTTTGCCTTTTAAGTTACTATAGGATTACAATTTTTTTATTTTTTGTAAGAACATAAAACTTAACTTAATTCGCAATCTTCACATCAAAACAAACTTAGAGCACAAATTTAGGATCAACACTAGGGAAATATAATATTTCGTACAATGTACTTAATTGTGTAATTCTACCCTAGAGACATGTGGAGTGGAGGTGCTAGATCATTGTACTTTCTATAATGTTCCAATAATCAATTTGTAAGATTATGCCTTAAACTTAGGTGATTAGTACAATTAATTTATACATTAAACTATAAGAAGACAAATAGAAATGATCATTTGTCACGTAGATGAAATAAATTAACGCTATTATGGAGACAAAACACAGCTTTCAGCCAACTTAGTTTAAGTAATTGCGGTTGATCACCAAGTTAATTAATACATGTTGACGTACTTAGGAATAGAGTAGATAATGATATGGTAATTAAATTAATTTGATTAGGAACAAATGGCGAATTAGCAGTGGTTTCTTGTAAAGTATAATTCATGATGTACTGTAATGGAAGAATCTCAGCCATAAACATTTTCCCAAGCTAAGGATGATGTTGACTTTTGCACTGAATAAAGCCACTGCCAAGGAGATCTTACTGCCATCCAAAATTAACCCTATGTTGATCGACTGTTGATTTCTATAATAGGGCAGCTACAAATTTTATATTTGAAATACTACTTCAAATTTAGACTTTGTTTTGTTCACTTTAATATCATGTTTATATATATACGTAGTATATGAATAGGTTCTTCAGATAAATTTAAAAAAAAAAAAAAAAAAAAAGTCTAGATGATGTAACAAGTTTTAATAAAAAGACTATGTAATTAAATTAAACCAAATTAAGCTTTAATAATTTCAGAAGTCTCAAGTTATGTTAAGTCCACATAACTTGAGACTTTTTATAATTTAAGTGAAAATTATGACATTATAATAATTTCTTGTGAGTTGAGTGGGGTGGTAAATCTGATAAGTTGATATAAGAGTCAAGTGCTTCATATTTGTTTTAAAAAAAAACAACCTTCACTCCTCTCTCCTCTATTCTCTCTAAAAAAAAAAATCTTACCCTCCGATCCATTGCTGATTTTGAAGGGACTTATGTTGGTTTTTACCGGTCGAAAGCCCCAAACTTTGTTTTTTTTTTTTAGTCATCTTCATTTGTTATTTTAGGTTTATAATAATAATCTCTCCCTCGAAAGAAAGGTTTTTTCGATCTTTTTCGAAAGATAAGGTTCTTACAACCTCAGCTCCTTTGAAACAGGGTTTTTCTCCTCTTTTTTGAGGGTGAATTTATTTAGCTTTAAATCCGAGATAATAGATCCAATGCATTGCCGTGAAATTGTTTTGTTGGTGAAAAATTATGCAAGCTCGAAATGGTAATCAATTTTTCGTATACAATCGTCCTCATGACTACAAGGAATCGTTAGGTTGTCTCTCCAAACAGGTTGTATTATTTTCTAGCGATACAAGCACAATATATTCCACATTAAAAGAGTTGATCGGCAGTCGTAGATTTTATGAAGTAAATTTTTATTTGATTCAAAATTATGTATTTATTAAATTTGATTATTTTTGTATATGTCGTTTGACTTTTTATTAATGAAATAATTGTATTATTAAAAAATATTGCTCTCGTTAGGAAACTAAATGATATATTGCTTAAAATAGTGCTAAGTTAGGTCAGAAATGCATGACAAAATCACGCTGTAGGGTGTAATCTGATTTACTGATCTGAACCGAACTGAACTGAAATTAAGCTGAAGATAACAGGTTCTTAATCGATGTAATTAATATAAACAATGTTTCTACTTTTAGTTCTCTTATGTCCTAGGAGTGCTCGTTAGCTTTTGTTTGTAAATGTAACGAGGTTTATTTGAATCAAATATTGATTGCTATAAGATCTCAGGACTTTTTTTTTTTTTTTTTTTTTTTTTTTTTTTTTTTTTTTTTTTTTTTTTTGCAAAAACATACTGTTAACATTTTTTAGCATGTATGATTATTAAAATTATAAAGTACCAATTCAATCTAAAAGGTTAAGCTAATTATCAAACCCCCCCCCTCCAAAAAAAAGGCCAAGTTTATATAACCTATCACGCCTTCTCACATGAGAGCTCGTTGCGTTTGGAATGTGGAAGCATCTACGGCCTCCCAATATCCAGGGTGGCACTTAATAAGGAGGGGTGTATGAAATTTGAACTCATGACCTTGGATCATGTTGGCTTTTATATCCCACAACTAATAACTTTAATTGATGGTTTGATTGAGGTCCAACCGTCCAAGATTCATTTATACACAAATTATGAAGAATTAAACTTGAATCATAACACATACTCTAAAACAATATGTCAATGTCATTAAGAATGTATAAGCATATCAAATACATTTAAAACCCATTTGAAAGCAATATCCCAAATGATACCTCATCAAGCGCAACTAATCCATCATTAAAGGGCATCATTTTTTTTTTTCTCTTACAAAAAATTGACAACACCTAACATAGGACCTATTGTCTTAAATTTTTAAAGAGCAAGTGTACATTTTGAAATACAATTATATAAGTCGACTTTTGGATGTTTGAGAATCCAAAGACAAATTTAAAAGAAGTAAAGAAGGGAACATCGGAATCAATTAGATTACTACGTGGCATGATGACCAACACTTTGGTGCGACCTTGATGGTCGATCCCAACTCCTTTTAATTAATTTGGTTCTTTCCTGATTTTCCCACTTTCATTTCTTAATCCAAGCTACTTTCCTTTTACTGTGCTGCTGCTAACCTGCAACTTCTGTATGAATTTGACTAATTGATTATTCTTAGTTTTAAAGGAATTCTCTACCTCTAATAATTTGAGTCAATTTAGGGCTTGTTCCGATTGACTGAACTCAGCTGAACTGAACTGAACTGAACTAAACTAAACTTATTAATTAGTGATTTTTAACTACAGATTAGTGATCTTTGATTATTTATTGATTATTTATTACTATACATATGTGTATATACAAATGTACATATTATTATTATTATTATTATTATTATTAATATTATTATTATTATTATTAATTATTGATTATTATTATTATTATTAATTATTGATTATTATTATTATTAATTATTATTATTATTATTATTTATTGATTATTATTAGTATTATTATTATTATTATTATTATTATTATTATTATTATTATTAGGCTTAATTAGAAAATAACACCTGTTAAAAGACCTAATTTTGTTTTTAACACCTTAAGATTTCGAACTTTAATTATAATACCTGTTAAAAAATAAAAATTTTGCTTTCACCACCAGATAACAGAAACTGTGACGGAATTTTTTGGTGGGGCCCACATAGTCGTTTACCCTCCAAATTCCATCCCCTTCAATTCGAATTTATCTTCTCTGTCATTTATTACCACCCAACTAATTTTGCTTCATTGAATTTCGTCTGCAAATCTTGAACAACCAAAATTACTGCGAACATTCAAACCCTATACTGATTATTGTGATTGAGAAATTGAGTTGGAAGAGGAGGTGTCAATATTGGAGCGAAACAAGTCAGCGAGATTCCGTCAGCCATTTCCAACATCCAAAAAGCTTGGACTTTTTCGTGGATTCTGACAGCAACAGGAGTAAGATTCCAATACAGGTACCTTTCGAACCCTTTAAGGTAGTTTTCAACAAGTATTGTGTGCTGCATTATGCCATTTGTGTGGGTGTAGTAGGGTAATTTGGGAAAAAAAATTAGGAACCCT